GGCTGTGGAGCATGCTCTTAAATTATTGACTCAGGGAAAGGTCAGACTAGAGATGAACAATAGTAGTCAATTAGTAGCTGCCCTCTCTCATTTTATATATGTGAGCATAAGCAGTCTTGACTTTCCCAAGAAAGACTGAAGGTTCCCTATTAAACCATGTCTACATTTCATAGATAAGCCCAAGGCAACATGACTACAAACCCAGCTTCAACTTTTCCACTTGAAAAACTGTGGGGCAAATTGTTATTAAGTTTCATTTTCAATAACTCAGGACATTTGGTTTCCAGAAATGTTTTAACTAAAATCTTTTTGACTATGAGTAAAACTAACCCAAGGTAAGCTAAACAAGACCTGTTTACAAATGTTAAGAAAGTAGAAAGAAGCGTTGTCCTATTGTTGTTGTAGCATTAGGCTGACTGCTAGATATGCTCTAGTTTCCATCATGTATTCACTGCAGGCTCTCTTTCTCACTCTCTCATTCCGCTCTTCAGTGTTGGGCAAGAAGAAGTTCAGTAGTGGTCAATCTTTGATTTCCCTATGGTCATAATGAACAGTTCATATGAGCCAAATGATCGTGACAAGTCAGTCATAATCCTCATCATGATGATAATTTAGAGGTTGAAAAAGAGGATCCTTTAGCAATGGGGTTGTCCAATAGGAAGAATGTATTTATGAACCAGTCAACAACTATTTTACCCATTATTCAAAAGGAACAAAGCATCAGGAAGACATAAATGCGGAAACAGAGAAGGTATCTTTGCTATATCTGAGTCCTAAATTTCAATTTTACAAGTCTCCTGTTTCTATAGCCATTCCTTGAATCAGTTACTACAAAAAATAGTAGAGACAAAAAATAGCCTATGAAGATGGAATGTTTATTTGGCTCATAGTTTCAAAGGTCTTTGTATTAATCACTTGGCCCCCTCTGTTGTTTTTCTTTTTTAATTGTTGTTGCCTTCTAAGCTATCTTATCCAGCAACTGCAACTTGGCCACTACCAGCAGGGCTAGGGCATAAAAGCTGAAGCCTGAGGGAGTTCTGTTCCTTCAGATAACGACTCTTTCAAAGCTACTAAGGAAACTTATTTAAATGTCTGTCCCTCTAAAGAACTCAGGATTCAGAGGTTGAGGTAGAATCCTGCTTCCCAGAGAGGCTGAAGAGCAAGCAGCCCACCTAGCTCACCTCTTGAGTCTTCCAAGAAGTCCCCGTGCGCATGCTTGCCCACTCCTTATAAACCCTTCTTCACCTGGCTCCTCCCCACAACTTCCTGTTAACTAGTTGCTGACCCAACCTTCTAACCACAGGTGAATTTTATTTAATCAGATACATCTTTGTGTCATTAAACAAATGTCCCAGAGCATAAACAAAAGTAACACCCTTAAATTAATATTCTACAACACCCTCCCTTTTAGCTTGTGGTGAGGTAGTAAAACATGACAGAAACATAATAGAAAAGACTTCTCACTCCATGCGCACAGTGGAAGAAGAGGGGGTTCAACTTTGTGATCCTTGGTAGCCCACCTTTGTCACTTGAAAAACTACCTCTAGGTCCTATCTCTTAAGTTTCTACCACTTTCCCCAAGCTGGGACTAAACTTCTTAACTCTAGAATCCTTGATGAATATTCTAGATGTGTAACACAGCAATCATGTGCTTCCTTTAAATAGATGAACTAGATCTTTATTTTCCTATACCAATTTAGCCATGTCTAAATCATTTCTGATTAAAGCATTCTAGTGGGTTGAGACATCTGACTGAACTCAAACACAGGTAGATGACATAGGGTCTGAAACTGGTGCTTGGAGTGCTGCAGGAATCTAAACAACAATCTTTATTCTCTTCATATTTCATTCATTCAAGTATTTATTTAGCTACTCATGTAAATATTGATGTTAGTGCTTGTAGGGGGTCTCTGCAACCACCACAGTCAACAGAGTAACTCTCCATGTGATCCAAGAAGGCAATTTGGTTCAATATGACTAAGCAGCTGATGTTGGTTCAAACTTTGGGAATTTGACCCTGAGTAGTTTATTTTAGGCATATTTAAGTGCAGCACAATTTGGCCAAACCTTTCCTGGTGGTAATTAACTCGGTCCCATGCACACAATACAGCATACAAAATCTCCTTGAGAAACAAAGTAAGCTAAGTAAAGATCAGACAGACTACATCAAAATTCTTTGCAAAGCACATGTGACATCGTCCGTAAAGATGGGTTCTATAGATTTACTGAGAAAAAAAGCTTATGCTGAAGTTTTGGGGAAGAATTTGATGTGGTCCCAGCTACACAGATAGCACACAGGTCACCAGGCTATCAACCATGCCCACTTCCAGTCTTCTGGACAGATAACAGGTTTATACTAGCCTTCCTTTGAAGGAACAGCCCTGTATATTTAACATTCCAGGTTCCCCTAATGCTTATCTGTGATCACAAAGACCTCTATGCCTTTTACATGTATGTATTTTCATCCTTGTCTGAAGGTCAGAAGAGGGCATTAGATCCCCTGGAATAAGAATTATAGATGTAAACTATCATGTAGGTACTAGGAACCCAACCCAAATCCTGTGCAAGAGTACCAATGCTCTTAACTACTGAGGCATTTCTCCAATCCTCTTTCAAGTATTTGCTTTGCTCTCCATGTCTCTACATTTTTCTTTCTCTGCATCTGGATTGCTTTTTCTTTCCATGTATCTTATGGAACAAAAGTGACTGCCTATTTTTAAGTTTCTGTCACCTCCATTCATATTCTTGGGAAAGAGGTACTGTTATGACAAATCTTTCTGTCAAAACCGCAGAGCCCCACTGTCACGTGTGCACTTTACGCCAGCCGCCCACCCGAGTTAGGGCCCAAATTAATACACAGATAGACTTGTATTTCCTTTAAAGCTGCTTGGCCAATGACTAGGATTCCTCATCTATTAGCTCAGTCTTAATTATCATAAATCTATATATTTTATAAGACTTATCTTATCGGACACCTTATTGGCGTCCCTTCTTGCCGGTGGATCACATCCTACTGCTGGAGGAGGCAAAGGGGAAAGAGGGGACCCTTCCTGTTTCTCTTCCCTCAAATAGGAGTCTCCTTGCTATGTCACTTCTGGCCTAGATCACCACTTCTCTACTACATTTCCCAGAATCCTCTTTGACTCCTAGTCCCGTCTAACTTGCTGTCTCATTGGCCAAACAATATTTTATTTAACAATCAATAAGATAAACATACACAGTAGATTCCCCATCAGAGGTACTTTAACTGATTCATTTTAGATTAAAAAATACTTGTTTTATTTCAGTTATGTGTGGTTTATGTTCAGTTGTATTCATGGCATTATTAAAACAGCCATTGAATTTCATTCTGTTGTGGATAAAATGGTTCTCAGAAAAAAATCAACAACAACAACAAAAAGGTTGCTATAGGCTAACATCCTTCAAATATCAACTGAATTCATTCTCTCTCTCTCTCTCTCTTCATTCTGTCTGTCTGTCTCTCTCTTCTTTGTGTGTGTGTGTGTGTGTGTGTGTTTCTGTGTGTGTGTGTGTGTGTGTGTGTGTATGTGTGTGTGTGTGATGATTTCTGAAATATTTGAAGATCAGGTTTATTAATCTGGCTTCTAAATATGAACTCTTCTTTATATAATATTCAAATTGCTTGAAATATATAGAAATGTTGCATGCCATCTTTGAAATATGCTCCAAAGGGAATCTCTTTTAAATATGAGTAAAATGTGATGTGGCTGATCTAGCTGTGCTTTGGGCACAGGTGTAGCTGACCCTTCCTAATCTCTGCCCTCAGTTGTTCATTGTGGAAACAAAAGCCCCTGGAGAAAGCAGTGCACCATAGTTTGAAAGGGGATTCCTGGCTAATAATCTCTTTTCTTTAAGCTGAGTTCATTCTCTGTAGACATTAGTGGGTTTAGGTGAAAACAAGAGGATCCATGTAAGCTGAGTAGGAGGTTACTGTGTGTAACTACCCTCCTCTCATTCTTCTTTCTTCTTTTCCCTTTGGCACACACACATAGATCCACAGCTGTCAAACATGTCACAGAGGTTAGAATATATCCTGGTAAAGAAGTGGAGTTAGGTAAGAAGAATCATCTCGCTGCCTGTGATAGGGTCATGGGTGACAGTCTACGTACAGGATTGATTTTTTTACTGAAAGAAGACAAGAACGAAATGTACTTGAGAGAAGGAACACTTCTCAGGGTCACACTCAGAACCTGTTTGCTCTGAGTAGTTGTGGGTCAGAGTAATAAATCCAACTGTAGGGCTGGACACATGGTAGTGATTTTTCTTGCTGGTAAAGCTGTCATTTGTGGGTCATGATGCATTACTGGATTTTTAGAGAGGAATTGAGATAGCTATAGGAAGAAGGAAAGAGAAAGACACTTGCTGGAAAGGGACTTTGAGATGCTTCTGGTCCTGGTAGCATCTCACCTTGTAATTGCAAAACCAAACTGTTTTCTCTCAGGGTCTCTTTCTCGATGCAATACATACCATTCTCCCCATCCTGCATTCCAGAACATGCCCACTGCTGAGTTTTAATAACCAAGTTCCAGGCATCTATTGTTTGCTTCATCTTATTTTCTGGTTATTTTGTCAGTAATTTCTGTCACTACTAATTGTATTACCATTTTGCTGCATGAATTATCCCTCTGTCTTATCGATTTATTTTTGTTGAAATAGTCTTGGGTTTTATGACTTCTTGGAAACTTGCTTCAGAACTTGCATGCTTTTCCATAGTCTGTGTTTTGTGTATTTTTTCTTTTCAGTGGGTGTTTAAATTCATTAGAATTCTTTCTTTCTCAGCTCATAGCATAAACTTATGTTTTCTATTGTAATTTAAGTAGATGGAACCACAACTAAGTATCATTTGTGTGTGTGGATTTAATTGTTACCTGATATTCTTATAACATATCTGAGCTTTATGGTGGTTCCACTTAAAGGGTTTAATTACTTTTACAACACATCATTATAAGTATTTATTGGCATTTTCTCCTTGCTTCCAGGTCGATACTTGAATTTATGTGATGTATCTTCAAAGAAATTGGGATGTTTGGAAAAGGTGAATTTTCTCTGTGTGCGTATCCATAATCAGTACAGGATTTTAATAGGTTATTTTGTAGTTTCACATTCTCTGAATATACTTCGAGACTTTTTTTTCACTTTTAATTTACTTACATATTCTAAGTTGTGGTTTCTGACTTTGAGGATTATTAGCAATTACTAAAAATCCTGGAATACAAATGAAATTACACTGATTTCTTCTTTGCCTTAGCAGAAGCCTTCCTTTATATCCTGGAGAGATGTGTATCGACCCCCACTTAGCTGCCTTTCTCTCTCTTGTTAGCGTAAATCTATGCCTTGCCACTTCTCAGTCTCTTTTCTCTCACCAAATAACCCGACTCCTATTTGGGGATTTTTTTTTTTTAAATCTAGATCTAAGAGAGAATATGTTGTATTTGTCTTCAGAGTCTGCTGATCTCACCACAATGACCCAGCTGCTCTTATTTCTTATTTCATCCACATTTTCAGTCTAACTTTCTCTTGGCCTCCTGGTTCGTGTCCTCTCAAGTCTATTCAGGTATTCAGCCTACTTTCTAAGCTTTCCTTTGATATTTAAAAAAAATTAGGTTTCCCAGTCAGTTTCTTAGACTGAAAGTATCTGTTTTAAAAGTTTCTTCCAGGTATAATGAAATCTCGTTGTGTGTGTGTGTGTGTGTGTGTGTGTGTGTGTGTGTTCGTGTGCATGTGTGTCAATGTATTTATTACTTCTTGTTTGGTTTTCCTGTCTTCTCATGGTGGTTTTTCTGAGCCACATTGTGATGATTCTTAGCTCTGTGTTTCTTTCGTTTTTTGAAAACTTAGCATGCACACACACACACACACACACACACACACACACACACACACACCCCTGCTGGAAGTGACTCTGGTGGACAGAGACTTTCTTTAGTGAATGAAAGCTGTAGTGTGGGTTGCACCCAAAGTTTGTTTACTGGTTATTAAGCAGAGGTGGGGCCCTCCCTCCCTTGTTGCTTTCCTGGGCAACTGCTGTGGCTGGCAGTTGTTTAAAACAAACATGGAAGGAGAGAGAAGCCAGGCACCACATTTGCTTCTGAAAATACTCCTTGTTTCCAAGGTGTGCTTTAGGGCACTTCTCATAGTCCCTGAATACAAAATCTCACAGTCTGAGATGTCCCCAGTCACCCTCATCTCTACAGAAGTCTCCCCTGTAGAGCGTCTTGAATGTCTTCTTTATTTTGATTTTCCACAATTTCTCCCAAATCTCTGATTTATTACTGATAATATTTCTTCTTTAGCTTTGCTGTTACAGATTCCCCTTCATTATTAATATATTTAAATATCCATTTAACTAAATACTCTGAGGTGTATGACGAGGCTCATTTAATCATATCAACCCACTTTCCTTCTCTGACAATGTCTCCACAGCACTCAGAGCCATAGAAGGTGTGGACATAAACACCGCCTCCTCTGTGTGTGCTTCCTATCTGAATGACTAGGATCTATTTTTGTCTGATCTTCCTTTTGCTGTTTTATTTTATTTTTTTCTGTTAAGTTGATACACCTAGAGTCACCTGAGAAGATGAAGCCTCAACCAGGGAACTTCCCAGAGATTGTCTTTGTTAGTGGCTGATGTCAGAGGCCTCAGCCCACGATGGACAGCACCATCTTTTGGCAGGTGAGCCTGGACTGTATAAGAAAGCTAGCTGAGCAAGATCCAGTGAGTAAGCAAGCAAGCTGTGTTCCTCCACTGTTCCTGCTACTGGGTTCCTGCCTTGAGTTCCTGCGCTGACTCTCAGTGATGGATTGTGATTAAATCCACCAGGATTATACTGAACATATAAGCCAAACCCATGTCTCCCTGAGTTGCTTTTGGTCACAGTGCTCTATCATGGTAACAGAATGGAAGTAGTACATTCCTATTAATGTTCTATGATGACACCGAAGCAGACTTAAATATAAGGGATTACTGTTGAAGTAAATAGCCACCGAGTTCAACTTAGAATGGTTTCTGATTTCTTATTTTAGAATTAAAGGGGGCACTTAAAACTCTCCTGCAATATTTTATAATGTTGAAAATAGTCATCAATGCAAATATCATTAATGTGTGCCCGGAATCAATAATCATGGTAAAGAAAATGATGTCAGGCTTCAGTGATTTTTTTTTTTAAAGCAAGTCAAGACCTCATATTTGGACTTGTGATTTTCCTTTGGGGGAGGAGGAATGAGGTAGTTTTGCCCTCTCTTTACTGTGATAAAGCAAAACAACCTGAAATTCAGGAGAACAAATTTTGACTTTTGCTGTTCCCAGTGTGCTGGCTCTCTAGATGTTTCTGGTAACTAGATTTCTAGGAAATTAATGTGACGATGCCCCAAAACACTGAGCTGAGACCTTTAGTTTGTTTAATGCCATATTCAGATATTTAGTTCAGGGGCCCAAATAGTTTGCTGAGGCAAGATAGCCTTGGTTCTTTTGTAGGATTCTTTACAATGTAGTTCAAGAGGAAGTATTTAGAAGTGAAATAGGGAAATGTGACAAAGCAGCCTTTCCTGAGGTTCTGAGGTAACTTCTAGGGAAAGAAAAGGCTATTGATCAAAATGGTCTGATTGTAATGTTCTTTACAGACTTTGTGGTGATTGTTAGCTGTACAAACTAATGTTAAGTCCTGACCACTTCTCTTTTTAAGGTCCTGTTTAATTTCAATGTTTCTAGAGAGATTTAGGAGAGCTAGCTGTGTCAGCAAGTTCCTGACCCAGAAGGATTCTAAGATCCAAGGAAATGAAAGCTAGAGAGGGGGAGATAACTTCAATAAATAAGACTTGGTTGCTGATGATACCCCTCAGTCACTGTTAGGCCAAGGCTGCCTAGGCGGGACCTTATTTGATGGATAATTGGGTATTGGGTGGGAAACTGTGTCCCCAGAAATAAGAGTCCTCCAAAATAGCATCAGGGAATATAGTCACTACAAATGAGTTGGAATAGAAAGAATTAAATGATAGGGTGAGTGGTGGTCTCATGTGAATGGAACCTCCAAAAACCAGAGTCCCTGACTGAGGGTTGGGTTACCTTCATTCCAGATTTCCATTTACAAAACAAGTGTGAGAAGCATGACTTTTATATTCTTTATCATGTCATGATAAACAGGAACACAGGGGATAAAACTTCTTTTCAAGCAATGGATTTTTCAAACTATTAAGAAATCATCAGAACTTAACTTGCCTATGTTTTGTTTATATCCAAGAGGTGCTCTTCTGTGCATATGAGGGGCTGACAATCAAACAGTGCTTGGGTTAGAGGTGAGTTAGAGAATTCATCTCTCACTTGAAAACTATAAGAGACAAAAATGTTAAAGTAAGTTGAAACTCAGAACAATGAGATACCAGGTAAGGAGTGTGGCAGCCACAGACACTGTATTTGTGCTGCTCAGAAGCCTATGTGCAGTTTCTTTACTATTGCTGAGCAGATGTACCCTGAACAACTTTTATCTAAGGAAGCTGCTGGGAGATATGTGACCTGTTTGTAGATTGTGTTGCTGCTCAAAGTAAATTCCAACAGGCTAATAATTTTTAGTTATGAGCCAATTTGTCAGCAGTCCTTTCTAACTATGCCACACAAGTGAATCTGAGACAGAGCATCTGTAGTGCAGAGTTTCGAATGATATCACACATCCAGGACAAGTCAAAGTAGGCATTAGTTCGGGTCATATTTAGAGCCGATATGGGCATTCTTGTGCAATGTGAGTGTGTGGAAGCCTGTGGGGTTTGCTGTTCTAGTGACCAAATCCAGATCTCTCTTCTACCCGAAGTAAACTCTCAAGTTCCACTCTCTTCCATTCCCACATCCTGTGTGCTTTCTTCTAGAAAAGGCAAGAGATCTCTAGAAATGCAAAATAGTCAATGTTGCCATGCATTGTGGCACACACCTTTAATCCCAGCACTCAGGGAGGCAGAGACAGGTGGATCTCTGTGAGTTCAAGGCCAACCTGGTCTACAAAAATGAGTCCCAGGACAGCCATAGCTACACAGATAAACCCTGTCCCTCCTCCCACCCCCAAGTCAATGTCACCAAAGCATTTTGGCACAATAGTATTTCAGATATAGAAAACTTTTTTTTTTTGAAGAAAAAACAAATGCTATCTCTCGCCATCATTTGCACTCTAGTCTCATAAATGGCTACTTTTCCACACTTCTTTCTCTCCCATCTATTATGAAAATTTTGATTTATGCTTATAATTTAAAGTTGGACCCCCTGGAACATTCTATATAGCAGAGGATGACCTTTAACTTCTGACTCTCCTCCCTCCACCTTCTGAGTGTTGGCATCATAGGCAAACTCTCTACCCATTGAGCTCCACCCTCAGCCTGTGTTAATTTTTATCTTGTCAACTGCTAAGGCATCCAGTGCTGGCAGTGGTTTTAGGCAGAGGGGAGGTGATTTTAGACAACATCCTTCTGAGGAAACCAGGAAGGCTTACACCACTCATTGTCATCATGCCAGAAAATAGGAAAACAAATTTCCATTAACTACTGAGTTTTGCAATAATATTCACTGTTGAGGCAACTGCTGTCCAAGCAAAGCCCCTCCATCCTCAGACTTTCAAGTGTATATTAAACACTTACCTTTGTTCTGTTTGCTGGATATTGTGTGTCTAATCAACAACTATCTCACACACAAGGTAAAGACACATTGCATCTTGCATGCTTGCCATCAACTGGCAAGAAACATTTATCTATTTCATACTAGTCACTGCTCCTAAGTTGAGGAAATCAGTGTTGTCTCCATTTGTATTGAAGAACCCTTGGAGGGGGGTTCAAAACTCCAGAACACAGGATAGTACTTGCAGGGCAGCACTTAGAACCAACCCAGGAGTCATTTAAATGTCACTCTGGATTTGAGCTGGTGGTGTGCCCCAAGAGTTGGTCATCCTCATGCAGATACGCTTCCCCTCCATCCTTTCATTCATTGTCTGATTTGACTAAGATTTAGACACTAAACTTAAGAGATTTAAAACCCAAATTTAGAGGATATCAATTTTCTCTAATGCTCCACTTACTCATCAAACATTGGTTGAGTATAAAGCACACAAACCCTAGAAGTTGCTTAAAGATGCTGTACACCCAGCAGTAGAATGAAGAAATAGGCTGACTTCAGGGAAAATGTTAAAATAGTACAATTGCTTTCCTACTCCTTTGCTCTTGCCTCATTTCCTCATTCTGATTCTGCCTATTCACCTATTCTTCCTTCAACACAAACTCTTAAAGCTTTTATCTAATACTCATTTCCTTTGCCTGAAATATGTTCATCAGCAGTTGGAACTACCTTGTCTCTTGCCTCCATTGTTTCTTTTTGGTTTTCAAAAAAGAAAACCTTTGCTTTTACGTTTCTTCATTTCAGGATTCCTTGTTATTCCCACCTCTTTCTCCCTCTATCTAATATTCTCATCATTTCTGGAATGTTTTTGGTAGCAAGGCAAGGTCATTTCATAGTGGGAGTACCAAAGATGTCTGGAAAGAAGGAAAGAGTCAGAGTTGAGGGAGAGAAGTAGCTCAGCCTGAACCTGGATATCCAGTGCTGAGTGCTCTAATATGTTTATGTTGGGAGCTATTTGTCCATGCTTTTCAATACTTTGCTGTGTCAGTTGTGAAGAGCCAAAGTGGAAGCAAAGCTACAAGTTGAATAGTGACATTGAAGTATACCAGAAACATGATCAACAACAAGTTTAATTAATCAGATTAATGACTAACAAATTGGCTGATGCTAAATAAATTCAGATTCATTTCATTATTATATATGTTCTCATCTATAGACTAAACTGTTGCTCTAGCATGCCAACTAGGGAAAATTTGTGAATATGTATGTATATGTATGCACACACACACACACACACACACACACACAGAGAGAGAGAGAGAGAGAGAGAGAGAGAGAGAGAGAGAGAGAGAGTTTTTCCACTGTATTCAAGTTAGCATGACAAAAATGTACCATTTCTCTGTAGGATGTTGTTTTATGTAGAAAAAAAATTGTGAATAAATGGAGATACCAAGTGTGTGTAGGAATCTTATTTCTTAGACCAGAGGTACTTCTCTTAGAGCCTAACAGAAACAAGGAAGAAACTCAGATATCAATGGAGATTTTCCAACCTGGATAAATAAGATGAGGAAAAGACTTAAAATCTAGCCACAAATCCTTAAAACAGTGACCCACAATTCCCAGGCAGGCACTATAAATGCTATATACCACTATACTCATAATTAGTCTTGAAGAGAATAGTTTCATAAGACATGATGAGAAGAATCTTGGAAACAATCAAACAAAATGTGTGAGCTAGAATACTTGTAACATTTTTAATTGTCTTGGAATGTCTTGCAGGGGATTCTCTTATGAGAAACATGGCAGGCTTCCTGTGCGAACTAGTAAATAGGGATTCGATATATAAGAAAATCATGGCAGCTGCTCATGGAAAAAATACATCTCCTGGAGGACAAAAATTTGTGCAGATTCTATATAAACTCATTCCCTCATGTTTTTCTTTTTGGAGCTAAGAACTCTGGAAACAACATATTTGGGTTGTGTCCCAGGAAAGGTACTCTGTGCTTCAACAGGGCCAGTTAGTCCTTTCCATGTAGCTTTGTGGTTTCCAAGTCACAAGTCAAGTGGTTCCATGGGGTGGAAGCCAA